ACTATCGAGCGGTACGACAAGCGATTGACGATTGTTTATCAGAGACCGCTGAGGAGACCTTTTGCACTGGACGGTACCTCTCTGTTGAATGCACGTGATGATAATCGGTGTTGTTCTCAGGGAGTGGTGAATGGCATCGTAATAGCTCACGAGTCTCCGCGGCTATACGAATCTCGATATCGAGGATCATCCTCCTCACCCGATTGATTGTCGTAGAGGGGGTAGAAGGAGCCCCTTCCAGAGCGGTTTCGGACATGCAAAGACTTGCAGTAGTCAGATGATAGCAATATTCAATAAACTACTCCTACTAATAGTTGTGAAATTCCGCAGAGTTACTTCTAGAGTCAAATTTATCTGTTGTAGAATTATGAATCGGCACCAATAAAGTGCTCTGCATAGCACAGTGCATGATACGATCGTTTACGAAGTAGCCAAATCTTGCAATCTTACTTAATCTTATAATTTCTCAACGCTACTGAGCCCTATCGATGATGTCAATAGCAAAATATCTTTACCTAGCTCCATTGTGTCTTTCTCGGGTGAATATCCTCTAGCGAGTGGTTCTTGTAGTGATTATGAATCGTGTTTTTTCTTATGTGCGCCACTAAGAACTAATATTGTTTTTGTCAGCTTCTTTAATCTTTATCTTCGAGTTATGACCATTGTCGATCCAAAGGGCAGTGATGTTGAATTGCAACGTGTTCATCGTGTGCCTGAGGTTGAGGTGAAGGGATTCGACGAGACCGTCAAAGGCGGTGACGTTGATCCCCAGTGTCACCATGGCAAATGCACCGACATCCGTGGGGTTTTCAGCATAGTATTATCTGCAATTGGTAAGTCCTCTCACATCCCACAAATTTCATCGCCTTTCTCAGGTATGGGTGTAGTTATGCTTCCCACTGTATTCGCTTCTTGTGGCTGGCTTGGTGGTGCCTTCGTCCTCACCCTTGGTGTCTTATTTGCTGGTTTTGCGGTATCCAAGTTGTATATGGGTATTGCTCTCACGCCGAAGGGTCGTGGACATGTATACACATATGAGGACCTCGGTCGAGCTTGTTACGGCAAGTGGGGTAAGCCAGTTGCTCTAGTTGTGTCGAGTTGTATAGTAGTGTAGGTCGTGCATTGACTGCTGCTATCGTCCATGTGACTATGTCGGGTATTTGCGCATCGTTGTTGGTTCTGTTGGGCGAGAATACCACCAAGTTGATACCATCCATTTCCCAACGTATTTGGATAATTATTTGGGCTGTATTTTTCATCCCTTTTACCTTCCTACGAACGATGCATGAAGTATCATATGTCGCTGCTGTTGGTATGGTGTCGATCCTCACCTTATTCACCGTAGTCAGCGCCAATGGCCTTCTGGTTGGGGTAAGTTGTGGTATAACTCGATTGCTTTATAATGGTTATTTTAGATAACTTCGAAAGAGCCGATCGTGTATGATATTTTCGTACCGGATTTCATTGAAATCGCAACGAATTTTGGTGTGTGTATTCTCTCATTTAACGTTACTAATTCTGTTGCGACGTTGGTTCGAGATATGGCCAAGCCGACTCATTTCGTGGCAGTTTCTAGATGGGCCTATGGTATAATATTTACTGTGTATTTTGGTATTGGTGTGTGTGGTTACTTCGGATATGGTCGCTCCTTGAGAGATCATCCTATTATGGATTCGATCGTTCCTCCTAACGAGCCCGTGTCGGGTGCATGGGCTTATATTACTCTCATTGCAATCGTTATGTCCAGTGTGCCGCATTATGTGGTAAGTATCTCGAGGTTCAACTTGCAAGATACAGAACAGGTCCGATTCAGGTACTTTTGCTTCCGATTGCCTCCTCTCTGGAGTACGTTCTTAACATTGATGTAGATGACAACTCTCGTCGGGCGGGCATAAAGAGGTTCCTTGCTCGTCTGGCATGTATTCTATTCACCACTATAATAGCAGTCTCTGTTCCTAACATATCTAGTCTGCTGGACATACTTGGTTCCTTTACGATGGTCTTCATGGTTGCTATGATGCCGTGTATATATTACATGAGAATCCAGCAAATCGTCTTAGGTGACCGGGGGCGTTTAAATCGGAAATAGGTTGCGACTGGCGTTAGTTCAGTGCGCAGATGAATATAAATGTGGACTATTATTCGTCGTTTTCAGGTTCGTTGAGGGCCTATGTTAAAGCTCACAAGGCAGAGACTCTGTTTATTTTGGTCGTGTTAACGTGGTGTGTGCCGATGATTGCGGTGGGCTCGTATGGTGCCATCAAGAACTTCGGTTAGCATATCGTATTGTTATCGTGTCTTCTGTTTACTACTATAACTGGCGGGCGCCATATACTACTGTTCCTGATAACGTTAGTGTTCTGTGATGATTTTAAATAGATGATGGCACTTCTCGATGACCTTTGCTAGGATTTCCATCGGTTATATCATCATCGTTGTTGTTGTCTATATGTTGTTTTAATAGGATGTTGTTACTTTTCAAGAGAGTTATTGTTGGATTGCGTAGTCAAGTTATTCCTTAGGGGCTGTAGAAATGTAGGTGGAAAATTGAACGCACTCCGCTACGTTGAAGTTGGGGAGTGTTCTGGGAGTGTGCGTATTGAAAGATCTAGCTCTGGATGGGAAACTGTGGCGATGTTGAAATTTTACGGTATCAACTTGAGTTGGAAGAAGTTTTCCTTGCTAACAAGTGATCTGAGACAAGAACTTACTTGTAAGGATCGATCAACGAAATATAGCATCTCTAACAGCTTGCCGCCCAGCCGCAAGAGTCTGACTTCCTCAGGATACCTTGGCGACTGTGCGCGGGCTGTGCTTTCTTTCCGCCCTGTGGCTGCGAAGTGGCGGCCGTCGGGCTCCTTTAGTCACTGAAGTTCATTGTTTTTGGCTTTTAGTAGCTAGACAAAAACCACCTTGGTGTCGGAAGACCCACTTTGTGTGTTAGCATACCCAGACGCTTGAAGAAGGAACAGATGGATCGGCGGACGAGTATACCAACCTGCTCACCTCTAGGGCAAGCCTGGCACTTGGTTCTGTCTCAAAGTCTCCTTCCCTGTAGTGTCCCCCCAACTAAGCTCGCAACATGCTCGAACAGTTGCAACTTAGTTGTTTACCACTTGCCCTCATGATAATGGTGACGATAACTTTCGTTATTTAGTTGAGTGAGGAGTTGGGGTATTTGGGCTGGATACTCGGAGCTTATCCAAACGAAGCTATTGTTGGGGATACAAGATCTGTAGCTCTTACCCCAGCCTCCTCACCATCACCGGTGGATGAGTTTCTCTCTGCAGATGTTAGACTTCGAAGGCCTACTTCAAAGTCTCCAATTCCGACGAGTTGCGAAGGCTGCTCGCACTCGGGGAACCTGGGGTATCGGGGGTCATCTCACCCAGAGTATCGATTACACTAGCTCAACACTAGGTTAGAGTTAATCGTTTCTGGCTCCATCGTGATAGCAACGCTATAATCCTAACATCGTCGAACTCGGTGTCGGGACGGTGATCGAAGGAAGCGAATATGAAGTCACCCGCCGCATTGAACTCGACTTGAAAAGATGCCTTCTCCTCATCCCAGTGACGCACGGCGCACCAGGACACCTTCCAGCAGCTGTATCGGTAGGGTGTTACTTTTAATTGATTTGGGAATCATGGCCCTTATGAGGTTTTACGGCTCGAGATAGGACGTGTCGCACCAACATCATGTGTTCAGACATATTATAATATCATGGATACAATTAACGATTACTTGATGACCATTGGTATTAGACGATACTGTCGTCAAACGCATCGATTCGTCTCTGTGAAACCGCGATACAGGCATATGAACGCACCGAGTCAACTTGAAACGTTCAAGTTAACATCAATGGTCTAAGTTAGACTGCTGTGCTCACTCAAGACATATCGAGAGAAAAAAAAATTGAAACAATCATGGTCATCCATCTTCCACGATTCGTGATTCACAGCATCTAGCTGCGTGCCTTAGCTGCAACCATCCTCATAGTTAAATCAAGAAGTATCTCTTCACTTCCTCCGGGTATAGCACTCAAACGGACACTCCTGCGAATGACCCAGTTGATGATGATGATGAGTGAGTTCTATCATACCTGTATAAGCGTTCCACATAACGTCCCTGACCTTCCCTCGTCACTCCAGCACCACCGAAGATTTGGACTGCCTCTCTGGCGCAGTACTCGAATGCCTAAATAAGTGAACTTGATTCGTGTCTGCGAGCCGAAGGGGATGATGACCTTAGACGCGTTAACCTTGAGAATAGCACAATCAGCCCCCAGTTGACGATCGGGAACTCTCTGCTTGAACTGCAGGCCAACATGTTCCACCTCAGTCCATAGTGACTCCACCTGAGATGACGAGCTGAGTATACCAGCTGCCCGAAGTATTCCTCCTCACCATTCTAGCCATTTCGGCGAGCTTATAGCGGATCACTTGGTGTTCAATCAACTTCTTCCCGAAAGTCTTACGCTTCATCGCGTGCCTGAGGAATGGCAATGGGGATATCTGTAGCGTTTCCATGTGCGATTACTTCAATGCTAGAGAGTAGCATCGCCGAGCTCCCCTAGCAGCACCGACGGCTATCAACAACCTGAAGCGGCGAGGTAATGCTCAGAACCATCATCCGAGCAGGCCGTCACCTCTCATGGTTGAAGTTCTCCATGAGAGCAATGAAACCGCCGTTTTCCACACCAATCAGATTTTCGGCAGGCACTCTCCTGTCCATAACAGCTGCTCGATAGGAGTCTGCCTATGCACTTACACATCATCGAAAGTTACAAAGGTGGACTTCAAATCGGTGTCCCCCATCGTAGGAAGTCCACGGACCTACAGTCTCAGTGGACAGCCAGAGATGCCCAAGTTGTTGAGCATCACCGTGATGCCAGGCGACTTCATGTCAACACATAAAAGGGATATGCCGTTCATCCCCTCCGAGCCAGTGCGGACAGCCAGCGTTATGTAATCCGCGATCAAACCACCAGTAATCCATTTCTTCTGCCTAATGCCAGATGACGCTCTTTAACTACATGAGACACCTTCGGCTTACCCGTTTACAACATACTCATCTCCCCGTTTGACAGCTGTTGTTTTGATTTGTGCAACGTCACTCCCTGCAGTGGGTTCTGTTATACCAAGGGCAATATGCTTCTCCCCACTCACGACTTGCGGCACTAACCTAAAGTATGTTCGATTATTCAAAAAACGTCGAGAGCTCAAGATCTGCAAAATCCAGTTCAATTCTAGCGTTGGAGATATCAGGCGTTACGTACTTTTCGCGTAAATGAGCCGGGCCGTACTTAATGAGTGGAGGCAAAGCCATGGAATCGATGCTTATCTAACAGGCATTAGGGTGGTCCCCTGAGTGCACTTACTGGAGACTTACCATGCGCGGATAACATTCCGCTCTAGCCATCTCGTCGAAAAATATTATCTCGTGGAAGATGTCATATTCTTCTGAAATGGCTCAAGTTTTTCCCCGGGGAATCATTGTCCATAAGATACAACAGTGCATCTTCCAAGAATGTACTGTATTTTGATCTCGTTGACGTCTCACTACTCGACCGTATATACATTGCTGAAGCGCTAACTACCCAAAACACCTCGGGCGGGGCTCGAACCCACGACCACGGGCTTAAAAGGCACGCGCTCTACCGACTGAGCTACCGAGGCTTACAAGAAAAATATTCTAATAAGCGAGTCGTCCTCATAAGCGCACACTCGCGTCACGCTAGCCTCAATTCAAATAAATGCAGCTCACACTGGAACAGCGGAGCGTGCGAGTTTCTAGCAGCATGCAGTTCCTGAGGTCCTTAGTAATGGGTAGCACATTCTTTGGGGGTGCTCGGTGAGTTCGTCCTCCACGTTGACACCCAAAACTATCGAGTTGACAGGTGGCGTTTTTGAGCGCGGATACGCGCGGTCACAAAATACCCTGGACGTCTTTACAACAAAACTATAAATGCACATACCTAGTGGCGTTTTGCTGAGCTCAGACGGGACTCTGAGTACAGCTTGTTGCAGTCCAGCGTCGTACATTTTCTTGTGGATGCTCAGAGGGTAGCTTGAAAGTGACGTGCGAGAACGTCAAGTTGTGGCCCTCACTCACCCGCCTTTTTCAAGCCAACTCTCAGCGTAAGGGTCGATCTCTTTCATCACGAAGTCCCTCACACGTTTCCTGAACTCAGCATGTGAAGCCGTATAGTAAGGCGTAAAGGCACCTGCCCAAACGACGACTCCGCTGCAAAACGTCAGGGGTGCCTTACCTTGATACCAAGACGGCTCACAGAACTTGTGCTGATCTCCGAAGGGCTCGAATCTAGCCATTTTTCAAACAGAGACTAGACTTCTACTGAGGCAATCGCAGAAGCCTTTGAAGCCGACCGAAGGCCCTCGTCGAATTTCACTTCCATCTCATGAACAGGGATTCGATCACCAATAACGACAGGCGTGATCGAAGTGAGCCGATCAGCTACTATCACCTGTATTCTGTGGAATACAGAATCCGAGGGTAATAATAAAATCCAAGCCGCGGAATCATTCAAACCGCCCCGGAACACGACAGAGCAACGAGATCTTCTCAAAGCTACTCAGAATCCTGTCGATCCCACCCCTTTTCCCGTTTCCTACGAACGAGGGGTCTTGCTCACTTGCATGACCTTTGACTTTCTCAACCGGTGTCCATGCTCGCCCAGAAGACGCCGATTTTGGATTGAAGTTTCAACTTCAATGCATGCCATATTAGCATTCATCGCGATATACACTCTTCTTGCCGCCCTAGGCTCTGCTACAGACTCTTGTCGCGTACCATCACAGGGAGACGCATCAAGCCGGAGGATCAGACCAGTGAGCACCAATGCTTCTACGGTGTCCCATGCTTTATATTCAGCGTCGTCTGGTGTATGCACCAGCTGGGCGGATGGGCCGATCCCGATGGTATCGCAACAGACTCTCACTCACGGTCAGCTGAGCTGTACTTGACCAATTTGTATGAGCCCAAGACAACACTTTCATCATATACACATTCCAACATGTACCAAGCCTTGACGTCAGCGTTGTCAAATGAGCGTTGCGTCAGATTGTCACACTAGAAATACAATCCTAACATCAGAAACGATCTCCGGTTGTGGCAATTCAAGATCATGTACTCCTCAAACACACACTGTTACATACATTACATCCCGCGCGAGCCGGAATCGGCCACCCTGTGCGGTCCGCACAGCAGTACTTTCACGAGGGGACTCTCGCAAATGTTCTCCCAAGAAACCGCGTTCCTTTACAAGAGTCGGTATTCGATACAAGGTTGTAAATGACGGTAAAACAGCGATCTGTGACTAAGTGATAACTTTCTGGCCAGCGGGGAGGAAATTCTACTACGAACATTCGTTATTTTGTAATTATCATGAGTTGTCAGAACTAGTTTCTCACGCATGTATAGGGAGCGGCTGCCAACGCGTTGTTACACAGTCATATCTCGTACCGACAAGCATGAGAGAAGCGGAGTGGATTCCGACCCTTCGAAAGCCTCGTTGTTGGCGAATCCACAGCTAGGGCGTAGTATGTCGTACAATATCCGGTGTATGGAGAGACTCCGTCGGAGTGCCTATGCGCGCACAACGGCGGTTGTGCGCATACTGTAGCCGAGTTAGTAGTAACACCCGTTCAGCAATACCGAGGACTTCAAGGGGCTCAGCCAGCGGGTTCTCCACCATGTTAGTAGTAATACCCGCACTGGTTGACTCAACAACACTAGGGATATCCATAGTAGGTAATAAGGCTTCTTATCTTGTCCATTTCAGCCTGGGGGCTGCGAGCCGTTTCACGCAACGAACAATGGGCGAGCGAGATTCGTGCATACGCGCGCGAACATGCCGTGACATGACGTGAATGAACATCCTAAAGGCTTCCTCATACAGGTTATTTAATATCCGTTATTATCTAAAATGGTTAAGACCTACTTTTCCCTGATCACCATCATTTGGTTTGCCCTGCTCTCCATCGTACCACAATGCGACGCCCAACTCCGTGCCCTGGTCCAGCCCACTTATGAATGTGCCACTGGCAGTTGCAATCCACCATGCCCTGAAGGCGAGAAGTGCTTCCTGCATTTTAACAGCCAATGCTTCTGCTCGAGGCCTTGAGGAGCCTTTATGTTATCTCGCGGCTTTGAACAGCTTCAGATGACTTCAATCTAGACAACTTTTCCGGACCATCTTGTTTTCGTCCGCCGCCTCTCATCAATATTCTTTCGCACAACCAATGTATCGTGTTTTCAGTTGATGATTTGCACACTGACGAGCAAGAGCTCCCAGAATCAATCTCAAGTTAAGATCAGTGTCGCTTGCACGAGTCTTGCTGAAGTCCTTGAAGTATGTTGCCGAACGTCTACTCCCGTAAGTGGCAAACCGAGAATACAACTCCAACAAGAAAACACTGACGAAATGTGTTAGGCTAGAGAAGCATCGATGAGATTATATTGCGCAAATAGCAGGCGCTTTCACTCCGTCGATGTGTGCCGTATCAAATCTCAGAGAGAAACACATATCACCGTATGATGAAATGGCTGAGAGAGACACCACGATGGGAGTGCATTTATAGACTACAAATTGTAGTGAACCGCCTCTCTAATTTGCTAAAACACATTATTATGTTCGTCCGTCTCAGACCAAGACTCTTAGTGTCAATGTGTGTGCAGGTCAATGATACTTCAGCGCCTACAGACAGAATCGCGTATATCAGAATGTTGCGATCGGATGACACACCGTACGAAACTGACGATAATATGACTGATGATATGCGGATCGATGCTCCAGATCGCGCCTTGTATGCTAACGGCGTCATAGACAGAGTCAAGTAGACAGAACCCTAAGGGAGCCACTATAAAGTTTGTAAAACTGCATACATTCATATTCTACGGCTCCATATGCTACTTGTTGTCTAACATACACTCGTCTGCCTATATTTTCTACGCGACCTGGCACTAAACACTCCTCAGCCGTCATCTTATCCATTCCTTTTCCAAGCTCTCACAATCTTGGGTCAAAGCGTCACGGTATGTAGCAAGCCAACGCATCAGCATCGACGCTGACGGAGGTAAAAATTCGAAGGAGGTACCCGACAACTCGGACCATAAACGACAGAAAGCAAAGTAGTGACGTAGACCGGCGTTGTAGCTTGCTAATGTAGATGGAAGAACAGAGCGCAAAGGACCTTTGCCAAAGGTAGTTCGAAAGCTGCTCTTTCGATGAGTGGGGTAATGTTGATGTTCTGATCTCTCATTAATTTAAGGAACGATAACTGGTTAGTCGGAGGGAAGGCTGCAACAATATCGTGTGTTCTCTTATGCGTCCACACTGTGGACGCAATTACAGTGGAAGGATCTACAAGTATGCGGCGTGGTACCGATGTGGATGTAAATGAGGCCTGTAATCGAGCACTTCCCAGTCGTTGCAGATTTAGTCTCGCAGCAGCAACATGCAGTGGAAAGGGAATCTCGTCAGACATTGAGAGAAATGAAGAGTTTTTGCTGACGAATGAACAAAGACTGCAAAACGAAAAGCAAGAAACATACCTACACGAGTCATGAATATTATAACATCACGTCGTGAGGGCATGCTGACAATTTCCATAATGTAATAAAGATGGACGCGAACTTATCAACCTATACCGATCCCAAGAAAAGAAGTCATGATAAAGTCTACGCGAAGGAGCATCAGCCAAGTTAAATTGACTTCGTATACCACCAATCCACATCGAAATGACGATCTTTGCAGCTAAGAGCCAGAACGCGAGTCCCAGGCGATTGAGCGAAGGCGATTTGGACGAACCTTTCAAGATCATGTGTTCTACAAATGTAGCATCGATGAAGATCATCACACGATGATTACGGAGCATGGGACCAAATGTCGAGATTGCACAGAGGGTTGCACAACATTCTTGGAAGACTATGTTAGGTGGATCGGAACAAGAGATGGCCGAGAGAGACAAAGGTAAGGGTTCTGAGAAGTAGACATTTTTGTGGTGGAGACGAATAAGGCATGCTCCAACTTGGAGCCTCCAAGACGGCAATCCCCATCGGCATCAGAGTATATGACAGCCGCAGGAAAGCTATGTAATGAGGATAACGTCAAGCATCGTCCATCAGAGAAGCTGCGTAAAAGAAAAAGCAATGATCGGAGACAATCGATGGCAGTGTGACTGGGAAGACGAACCGGACTTACGTCCAAAATGGATATGATCGTAAAGCACCCGAATGAAGGGTCTACCAGCACAGGAAGCAAAGGTGGAAGCAGCAACATTTAACTTACCGCATAATTTTAAGGCTCGACCAAAAGGTAGAACTCCCGATGAGAGAATATTGACAAGAGAACCACAAATACGATGTAATTTTTCACGCGGAACAGAAAGAGAAACAGCTCGTTTGTAGACAGATATTTCGATGCCTAAAAGAACCATGGCATGAGAAGGTGAAGAACTTTTCGAAGTTTTTAATTTCCAGCCTAGAATAGAGTTCAAAAAGAGGAAGGAAGAGTAGGCTGAGTCGACAGTCGATACACCTTCGCCGCCAGAAAAATCATCGATATAGCTAACGACGATAGTGGAAAAATATGCCCTGGAGAGGAAGACCAATGCTTGTGATACTCGTAGGTAGTTCCAGACACTCGATCTGGCTCCAAAAGCCTGAGCGAAGTGTCTAAACAAATATAAATGCGGCGTAGACGGATTACGAATAGCGACAAGAGTAGAGAAAGTGTGTGGAGGAAACGACGCGACTTGCCGATAAGCACTCTAGCGATCAGCACTCCATATGCGGATCAAGATCATCAGGCCAGGAACCCGACAGAGCGTTGTACATCTGTGTAATCAAGTCAATGGTGGGTAGAGCCATGGGACGATCGAAGTATTGGCAATCGTTCAGACCCGACGCAGTGTAATCGTCACAGGGCCTCGTTTTGGAGACCTGGCGTACGGGAAATCTACGTGAAATCAAATAGTCAGTCGTATAACTGTCGCCGTCGATGGGACCAGCCATGGTGTGGTTATCGACCTCATCAATAGCCGCCCGCCACAAAGTGGCACCATCAGTGCTCGGAGACTCGCGTTGCAAACGTTGGTATATTGGGTCGTCCTTGAGAAAGCCCGTACGTAAAACAGTGTAAAGGTCAGTGTACGTCAATTTCTGGGAGACACCCTCAGCAAAAACGGTACCCGGGGTGTGGAAATTGCCACGGACTGCCAAACCATAAACCAACTCCAGTGCGAGTGACGAGTCACAATAGTTAGCAGTGCTAACTTAGCACGACGTAACAGGACGGCCATGGGTGGAATGGACGGCCATGGCTATGTTGATGTATAGCACTAGATCAGGACTCCTGATTCAGGAGCGGAGTTATAGATATACTCCCCCACTAAAAGTTGATGTTTTGAGGCGCAATTTCAACACGTGTATGCTTAGCATACTATGCTAAGAATATGTGGAGAAAACTTTTTACCCGGCTTCGACTTCTCACTAACTACGGAGAGTTAGGCCCTGAAAGTTTCAGGCTGGAACTTGGAGGTCATATCAGGTAAAGCATAAGCACATACCTCCCTGAGCCGCAAGATGATACTCGTTGTGGTGGCTGTGCACGAGAAACCGGATATGCTAAGAATGTGTGGCGAGGTGTAGACCTTGGAAGTTCCAGGGTCTACTTGGATACGGTATCCAAGTTGGAACGTGCTGACTTGACCGCTTGACACTCCCTTAGACTTAGGACACCGCTCAATTCTCGGGCGTCTATCGATCCTGGCCACAAATTTCGCGCTCCCGGCCAATCCCATTTCTTGGGCCACTAATATCGCGCCAATTGCGCAATTTCGAGTTGTGGGCTCGTATTGTTCGAGTTACTGCGTTTGGAATCCTATTCGAGCTAGGCAATGGTGTTCGTGACTAACCCTAGAGTATGAGTTAGACGGAATCTCTACTTTCCCCGTACCCCTCTATCATCAAAAACCACTGTGTTGCCAATTCGGCTAGAGGTGTAAAACTAGAGGCGGATCTAACCGTTTCTAGTATGCAAAACCGTTAGATAGATGCATCCGAGCCCTTCATCCTTATTCCTGCCACTAATTCTTCAGTGATAGCCACATTCCTCAGAGGAAAAAGAATACAGAGAAATGTCCCGAGCTGAATTCTATCTCACTCTTCTCCATCCTCGGGTGATGCTGCTTGCTCCATCGGCTAGCAGAACCCTTGGCTGGTGGTGAACACCCAATGACCGGGCTGCTTCTCTTATTGCAAGGGAAGAGCGACTCGGCCGATGCGCTGTCCTCGTTCAAAACGTAGCCAATACTTAACAGTCCGAAGCGCGAAGGTGGACGTAAACATCCACAGACTACTACAACAAGGCCCAGCCAGTTCAGTTTATGTGTATAATCGATAACCATAGTATCTACCATAGTAGTGTTTCCATTTTCTTGGATTAAACGCTTTGTAGAAAAAATGCCTCGTATCTTGAGGCATTACAGTAGCCTATACAGTACGGTTGGTCTTCGTCGGATGGAATGCCGCTATTCTGCTCCACAGAACTCCTCAATTTCCAACAGAGTGTCACCAGACTGTACGCGATCTTCGCTCCGCATAGTTTTTCAACTGTGTATCGTCTTCTAAAGATTTGTTGTTTCACAGCCGGTGTAAGCTTCTTGATGAGCTTCAGTTTGATGATCAAACTTTGATCAGCTTTCTCTCAGTGCGACAAGCTGGAGTACCATCAAGGACACGATCATCGATTATTCTCTTGCATTCTTGACTAAGGGGTATAGGTCTCCATGAGAAGGGAGACCTGCAGATGGTGACATGACATATTATAGTTAGCACTTAGAATAGCACAGCAATCGATTGGTGCGTCACGTCACCATCTGGGCGTCACGCTTTGTCGTTCCTTACGACATTGTTTGTGGTTCCTCGCGGAATAACTTTGCTTACGAGCTCTGGTGTATTGTACTCAGTCGAGCTTCGGACTAACGTACTGTCGAGTTCACTAGTAATAGCAGAACGATCTTGGTCACTGTAGTTCTCCTCTCGACGGACTACACTCACGTCACGCTGCGTAGCACGTACGTACAAGAAGAACATGATAAGGATCTCGAAGGGGCGAACAGAGTCGACTTAGATAATTGAATCTACGTCTGAATACAGATGGTATAATGATGATATAGTCCTCGTGTAATACACGTAAACGACATAGCTCATACGGGCTGTAACAGCCCGGCTGTTCATAATTAGATTATATGCAGTTCATCCTACCACGAGATGTTGTTGATATGTGCGGATATGAGGCGGTGGTCACAATCCACACCAACGGTGTGACACCATACCGACTGCAAGCTTCATCGTAGATTTGAGCAGCTCATAAATGTCTCACGTCAGCCTCCTCCTCATCCTACTCTCACTGGTCGATCGGTTTGGTGCTCAAATGATGTATACCGGAGGTAAGTCAACTCAGGTTATACTCACAGTTATACCAGTGTCGAGTTGACCACAAAGGCAACAACAGGTGACAGCTTGCCTTCTTTCAGCCACAAGAGATAAGGCTGAGCCGACCCAAGCCTACCAGGAAGAGAATGATATGGACACGAAATCTTTTTTGAGTCGCGGTAAGCGTCTCTGCGATCCGGATGTGAACCAAGCACACGGTTACTACGACGGTTCCGGTGAAAGAAGGTAAGCATTTGAACACCTGCTTCACCACCTATGTGTGTAACCAACGCAGTAGCACAAGTAACACAATTGTTTACATGTGGACTCTCATCAGACTATTCTTCTGGTTGTTCGAGTCCCGTTCTGATCCATCCCACGATCCTCTCATCCTCTGGCTCAACGGGGGGCCTGGGTGTAGCAGTATGATAGGGCTCTTCTTAGAGAATGGACCCTGCAGACTTAATGAGGATGGAAGGGGCACCAAGCTGAACCCGTAAGAAGGACTGTGTGTGAATGATGATGACATATCCGATTAAGGTATTCTTGGAATACCCGAGCGAACCTCCTCTTCGTTGACCAACCTGCCGGGGCTGGCTTTGCTGAGGGACCGCCCGTCACGAGGGGCTCGCACGAAGCCGCTGACGACTTGTAAGGCGAACATTGTGGGGGGGGGAGTATGCACATGGCCAACTACATGTGTTGGTGAGACTCTCACCAACACCTCATAATTTTCATACTCTCACCGTGAGAGTATGAAAATTATGAGGAAAGTTTCGGTGAATTATTGTCGGGTCTTGTACACTTCTACTTGAATTTGCATGTAAAATTCTACAGTAAGTCACTTACTGTAGCTCGAAATTCCATCACTGTGATGGAATTTCGAGCTCAGGTGAGGAAAGCGAACATATATTCCTCCAACACTGATCATTGAATGCAATCATCATTGACCAGCATTGCATCCCGAGCGACTGATGCATTGAAAGGTACTTGGCCCTTCTAGGGTTCTTCTCTCAGCACAGACAGTATAAAAATAGAGCCTTCTACATCGCTGGGGAGTCGTATGCTGGTAACTCTATATCGAGTGTCGTCGAACCGTCAGTTCCACTGCTTAGGTCATTACATACCTGCAATAGCGCATAAAATATGGCGAGAAAATAAGGGGCTGCGCTACCCTAATATTAACCTCCGGGGATTAGCTATTGGAAATGGATGGATGAATGCCGGGATTCAGTAGGCGGATATACGACGGAGATATCATAGAGTCGTCCCTGATAGGGTACCTTCATTCCCCCAGATGGCTTTTAAAAGCTGTACCGCTCCGCACGTTGCTACCTACGAAGAGTGCGAGAACAAAGCCTCCTATGTTGTGTATCAGTCTTCTTAGATATCTGAACATGACTAGAGCTGTTGGGAAATGCACGAGGGGTATACCACAGTGTTTAGCAGGCGACCGTGAGAAACGAACGGTTTGAGCGTCCTTCGCACTCGAATTAAACTCCGTTGTATTAGAGCTGATGTGCGAGCGCTTGGCCAAAGTCTGTAACGCCGACTCCATTGGTGCTCCATTCAAAAGGCGCGGTATCAGCATGTAAGGAGATTTGCTATGATAGGATATATTAGTGAAATGGTTTGCATTGTAGATACGATATGAGGATCACAACTAAGGACGGAAGCACAGGCCAAGTTGGAGATCCGAGGGTGGGTTGCATGCTTGACGAGACTCCACCCTGTTGTTTTCAGTTGGATCGTTTTCTCAACCGGTGTGACGTGCAGGATATACTTGGTGTTAACAAGAAATTCACCTCCTGCACAGACGATGTGAGAGTTGTGGATGAAATGCTTGTACTTCAATCGCAGGTCTCCATTATAGGGGACTTCGGGCCTGAATCAATTTTCCCCTCTGATAGTCTTTATTTGCCCGATTTACTTGATGCTGAAATCGAGGTGAGTTACATGCGAGTCGAAGATAGTTTCTTGGACAGTGTCGGAGTAACGTATGTTCACTTCTTTCAGCTGCGCCCAAAAGTTCCCTCGTGAGAGAAGTTCATACACGAATTGGGAGGAAATGTTCCAAAATCAACAAGAATTGTCCAAAAAATTCCCTCAGAGTTTTCATATTGTCACCATAAAATATGCACATGGTCAACTCCGAGTTGACCGTGTGCATATTTTCCCATACTTTTCTAGAACGTCCAAATTCTAGTACAGTGGGGGGACTCTTGTGATGCAGTATTATTGGCAGTGTGTTGGTGAACTATGAACACAGACTGCGATTGGTAGTCGCCCTGATGTCGATTGTGGACATTTTGACATTTCGTGTACATCATCTCGGCTCGAAGTCACGAACATCTTCTCTTGCAAAGATTCTCCTCTATGCTGGGGATCAAGATTTTGCCGGTAACTGGATCGGCTGCGAACAAGCAGCAGATGCGTTGGAATGGCCCGGTCGGAATGCATTCCGCAACGCTCGTCGCTATGAATATAAGGTAGCCAACAACAGGAAGAATATTGCGGATTACTGATCCAATGTTCCGATTCACCGAACCATAGGTTGGTTTCTCAGGGTATTGATGGTATATCAGTTGGTCAACTCCGCAGCATCAGATGGAAGGAGAAAGGAATGTTTGGTTTCTTGCAAGTACGACAAATCAGCGTTTCAATATATGTGTTCGTTTCCCTCAGCTGAGCTCAAGAGTTTCTCCGCTATTATAAAGGTATACATACAAATTCCGGTAGAAGTGTACTGGAACCAACAATACTTCCCCTACATTTTCTCACAATTTCCACTATATGTCACTAACAAATGCAGTTGACCATGTGCATATTTTCCCACGTTGCGATGACTGGATTTCATCCCAGCACCATTCCTGCAGGTATACCTAGCAGGGCACCTCGTACCCCAAGACCAACCAAAAGCGGCCCTCCTCATGATCAACGATTTCATGGATGGTACGCTCAGAGCGATCTCTCCAAGGATATCGAGGTTATCGAGTGATAACATCTCTTCGGAGGCTCATTAACAGAATCCTCCTGCCGGGCTTCTGTGTTAACCGAACCCGCGACGATACTGACTTTCTGCTATGTTGCTAGTTGATGACCTCCCCTATAATATAGGGCCTAATACTGACTTTCTGCTATGTTGCTAGTTGATGACCTCCCCTATAATATAGGGCCTATATTGAACTTCTTTCAGCTTCGAAACTCTTTCCACTTTCACATAGCTTAAGACTTCTCGTCTGCCATAATAAGAGTTCTAGTATGTTGAGTTTGAAGTCAGTATCGGACGACAGCGGAAACCTGTATATTCGCGCTTATCCAAGGCTGATACACAACCCAGTCCTCAGCGCAAGCTAGGGTCTTCATACAGAGTGTCAAACATTGATAAAACTCTCGTACCGTTCCGCCTGCCGTAGTGAACACAACAGTCACTCAGAGCAGATTGAGTTTCAGTCGCTCAGTTGAGTGGTGTCCTTCTACGAGGGAATCGGGTGAGACTCCGCCTGGCAGTGCGATAGTATCTGAAGGCAACGAGATGGCGACTTCGGTAACTCAGCTACAATGCCTTTTTGAGTCCACCGCTACCAGCTTCCCCCCCCTAGGGAGGTCCAAGAAATATTAGGTGGAATTCGCACCGTGGATTCAAACCGTCCCTACAAACAATACATTAAAGAGAGTGTTGTAGATGAAGTATTCATATCTTAGAAGTAATTTTTCGAACACGCATCGCGATTTGCCCGTCGTTTCGCCATCCACTAATCGAACACAAAACTCGAGTATACAAGAAAAGGTATCTCTACATACATAGCTACAATCGTACTATCTAATTGCCAGCACCCATATCGAAAAGGTAATTAACAGCAAGCTCAACGTTACCATCGCAAACCCGCAACGCCTCAAGATTGGCCGCCCTGCATTAGGTCACAATAAATTCGAGCAGGATGAACAGCTGCTTACGTATCGACAAAACCCATTGACCGTAACGTTCCCAATTCGCTAGCATATCTCTGCTCCAGTTCAGCCTGATTAGGTGCGGGGACAGCTCCGTCTCCACCACCAGCTGATAATACGAGATGTACCCCTCTCCCACCATCTATCCTCCTTACCTAGCATCTGTGCCATCAGAGGGTTGTTCTGCATGGCCTGCATCATTGAAGCAAAATCTGGCTGTCCAGAAGTCGATGGTCCTAGGAGCACACCATATTTATACCATCCCACAACAAACATTACCCGTCGGAGAATTCGGAGGAGGCACTATAGTATGACTAGTAGCACGAGTGGGTACAGGCGTGGGTGTCGGAGCCGCAGGAGCTGCCATACCTTGTTGTTGTGGCTGATTTCCCTCCTACAAAATCATCACGATATTCACTACTCTACCTGCTGACGATACTGCTACCATAGTTTGATTCAACTGCATCATAGCTTGCATCGTCTGCGGGTTCATCAAGAACCGAAGGAGATCGGGGTTCGACATTATAGCAGCCGTCTGAGGGTTCTGGGCCTGTCGACAACAAATACCCCCAACACAACGAATTATAGGCCTACCATCATCTGTTGCATCATCGGGTTTGTCCCCATCATCTGCTGTAACAGCTGAGGATTCTCAGCAAGTGCCTGACCGTGAAAAATGCCGTCAATTCCACTCACGTCCAGTGTTGGGATATATGTTTGCTTTCCGCAACTGGGCTCAGACTTTTCCTCACTAATTGTGAAAGTTTATATACGAACCAGGTTCGCCCAGAAACCAGCACGATTTTCCCGAAATTTCCCGAAATTTCCGGAAATTTTTTTCAATCGCCGCCCACTGTGCATATTTTCCTCCCACACTGCACACTGCAGCCCTACCTGCACGGCTTGCTGCACCATAGGGCTCTGCATCATCTGTGACATCATCTGAGGATCCTGCATCACAGCACCCTGGGCCATACCTTGTTGCATATAATCACTAGTAGGACGAGCAGTAGTCGATGATGACGGCGCCGGTGTTGGATTCGCAATGGGCTCAGCAAGCTGACTAGCAGCAGGAGTAGGAGCGGCAGGTTGGGCACTACTGCCAGCAGGAGCAGCGCCTTTGACCAAATGGATGGTGTGGCCACTTTCAATTTTATGTTGGTTTATAGTGTCGGTATCCTTCAAGATCCGACCTTTATAGATGAGCCTCTGCTGCTCTGCAGGGACTCCTGATGTTTTGACACAATTCTTCTTAACATCACCGATGGTAGTTTCCGGGTCGAAATTCGCCTCGAACGATGAACCACCCGAGACCTTGAAAATTAGATTTATAGACATTAAAAATGATAACAAACAGCTATTCCGCATGCAGCCCATTGTGGGAGGTCAACACTCGAAAAGTTCGTTCTCGAAATGTTGCTATAACATCAATCCATTGAATGGATTCCATTCCTAGTCGGCGGAATACGAGTCACGCGCCATAAAACTACGCGCGCGCCCAGAATATATTCCGATACCAAAGTGTCTCAATTGGAGTTCTCGAATTTGAAATAGTTTCCTCCAAACTTTTAACGGTCCTAGGGGAATGTATTCAAGTTGGAGTTCTCTAACTTCCATCCATAAACGATTTTTTTTAATTCTATTTCTTCCCCCGCTGCGAATAGAAGTTACTTTTGCTCCCCAAATGCTAAGGTGTTAAGAGTATACAATATCGTTTTCGACCGACTCTATGACGCTATGTTTCAACACTATGTTTTCAGTGACGTTGAGGAACAGAACCATACACGATGTGAAATCGAAATGTAGGAAGAGTTAAAGGACTTAGGAGGAATCCAGGTCAAGAGGCGATTCAACCGAGTCCACTGCATACGTGGAGGTGATTCTACTGATGATCCTTCTACTGATTCTACGTGGAGGGGATCATAATGTTGAAAACAATTATATTGAGCTAGAATAGAGGTTACTATTATCTAAATAGGCGTTGAAAAGGTGGTGAGTTCAGCTCACCAACTTGCTGAGTTGGAGATGGAGCGGTATCAAAGTGAGTTAGAAGAGGAGGAAAGCGAAGATGATGGATAGCAGTGGTTGGAGGAGGTGTTGATAGAAGTGAAGAAGTTACTTGATCAAATGTAAGGCACAGGTGTTCCTCGGACGGTCTTGTTGTTGAGGTTGACACGGTGTTCCTACGAAATTAGGTTCACATGGCGTATCCAATGACGTGGACGACACGGACAATGATAGTGATTAATTATCAAGGGTTAACTAGTTGACACAAGTTAAATACCGATACGGAGGGCGCGTCACACAGTGCGTCTCTGTCACACACGTGCATATCACCCGCGGTGCGTCCTCCGTCCTTTTTCGGGGTGCGTCGTGAAACGACCCGTAAGGCCGAACACCGTCGCAGCTTTACAAAACCAGATGGCGTATGACGTGTATGATTTATTTCAACCCAGCCCGCCACTCCCGGGAGCAAGCATCGGTTGGTCGACCCTGCGCGGCGTGCGCGGCGCCAGCAAAGGCGCTCGTCGGACTAACTCGATGCTTCGAGGGCTGGAATCCGCAGACACCTTCTATCTTCCAGCCCACCAGACCCACGCGCCCAGGAGTGGGATATCCAATACAGGACCTAAAACTAGAAGACGTTTGCACAAGTGGATCCACTGACTAGAACTCGAAGCGATCTCGAAAGTAGTCAGAGTCTGATTTCTTTTTTTACCGACTAATGGGGCAAGGGAAACCGTTGGTGCTCTCTCGCACTCCGAATAGTCATAACTTAAATAGATGGACTTGTACTTGCCTAACATGGTTCGCCGAACCATGTTAGGCATCGAACACATGCCACATTCGAACACATTCGAGCCGACGGCTCGAATGTGTTCGAAAACCTAAAATGATTCATCCGATTCACCATCAGAGTCTGTAGCGGTGAATTTCACCGCTTTCACCGCAATCAGTTAGTCAAGGGGCGGCAGCAACGGCAATGACCACAATGCTTACAGTCATCAGGAGCCGATTAAAGTGCTAAGGCGCTCCGAGTTCCGAGTCCAAGTACTCGGTTACCGAGTTCCGAGCCTTGGAAACCCCACTCCGAGAGTCCACGGATTAAAGTGCGATACCTCGGAAAAGTCGATTTCCCGAGGGATTTTTCCGAGAACTCGGACCGAGTCACTTTCCCCGAATTAAAGTGCACAACGGCATCACGAGCTCGGTCTCGGAAAAAAACTCATAACTCGGAAATATTCGAGCTTAGATACACAGCAATCTCGCGACCAGACTGAGCGCGTGAGTCGAACACTTCTCTGCATTTATTAATTGATTTAACGTGATGCGTCGAAGAGAAGAATCGCGTGATCAACGAACACGTGATATCACCA